ATTCTTGCAGTTTCACGCCAGACTCTCGTGAAGCGAGCCATGCAACGAAGACGGAATGGGCGAGATAACGAGCAGGAAGGTTTGCTGTCCAAATGTAGCGTGTAGATGCCTCGATGAATGTTATCACATACTGCTCCTCTTTAGGTCTTGCTTCAGGTAAGTTTAGGATGTCGCTGTAGGCTTTCTGCATCAGTTTATAACGTGTTGAGCCAGGAAAATGACTTGGAAACGGATCGTGAGTAAGGTTGGCGACCGGACACATGGTGCAAACCGTCGGACGAGAGTGCGGCTTCATCTCCGTGCCGTAAGGTAAAAGTAGACTGTTTTTATCACGGAATGACGCACGGATTGAATGATTTAAAATCCTTTGCGACGGATGTCCTAACCACTGACGCCAGATATCTTCTGTGGCTTTGTGTCCTGATGATCGCAGGTAGAAATCGGCGTTAATATAGAATGAAGAGATGATAAAAGGAGAAAGCGCTGGTGACCTGTCAATTTCTCCTTCAACGAAACATGTAAGTGGCAACAGAACATTTGAAGGTGCTGCTGCAGTTGCGATTGCAACTTCTGATGCTGCTTCTGTTGATGTTGTGGCAGGTGTTCCTGCGATAGCTACTGTTGGACGCGGCTGCGCGGCGACATCTTCCTTTTCGGATTCTTCAACGACGTCAGGTTCATCAGCTGCAAGTCCACTAATTTCTTCCCTAAGTGGACCTGGAGTTCCTTGAAGAGCCTCACGAGTATTGTAAAATGTTCGCCAAGCATTGGCGCCGGCATCGGCGGTACTGAACTCCCAGGTATCCAATGCGGTAAGTACGGCGGCTGCAGTGGGAGAAGCCGTTGGTACAGTAGTTGCTCGAAAATCAATATCCACGTGCTGATAATCTGTTTCTTCTGGGTGATCCCAGGGACTAAGTGCAAGGACGCGTTCAGAATCTCCAGAAGTTCCCTGTGCCGCGAACTGAAGAATGGACACGCCATGTTGAGTGGCGGCACGACCGAGGTAAGTATTCGATAAACTATGACATAACTCTTGATCCATTGTATCACAGTTGCATTGAGTGCGTATTTTGTGTGCCAGGAGCTGGGCCGTGGAGAGAAGATTGAAGCCAAGTCCAGCGACGATAAGAACATTGGTAACGTGTAGTGAATATCCCGTGTCGACTGATTTGAGCATGATACTTCCAATGGATCTTGCCATAATAGTTTGTCCGTTTGCTACTGTGACAGGTATCGGACGTCGAAGCGGGCGCTGGTTAGTGATAAAGCTTGTCTCAGCGGAGCACATGTGCCAACCGCAACAGCTGTCGAGATACCAAGTATTGGGTCCTGAAATGACTCGAGCAAGGTTAGCATAAACTTGAGGTAAGGGAATGCCTTCAGCGCTTGTGATTTCTTCAAGTCGGGTCTCGAAATCAGTTTCTGAAACATCAACTGTTGTAACACATCCGAAAACTCCTTTTCCTGATGTTGCAGATGCAAAAACCCGAGGTCGATGCTGTGGCGACGATGTATTCTGCGGTGTTTTCGGCATCTGCTGAGCCTGAGACGTCGACTGCTGCGTTGGCTGATGTGGCTTCGGTAATTGCTGTGAACGATGATACGGTTGTGAAGTGTTGCGACGGTTTTGATGGCGACTGCGACAAGTTTGATAAGTATGTCCTGGTTTCTTGACGAAGTGACAGAAGGGATATTTCGGGGGAAGTCGTTGCTGCGGCTCTGGATTTGAATAAAAATTTAAGTGTATCCCCTTTTTCTGGTTGCGTTGTGACTGCAGATCAAGATCTTGCTGCTTCGCTTGAAGATATGACGAAATTTCAGCTTCGGAGAGGTTCGGGTTCATGCGCAGAAAGGCGCGCGTCTGTCGCCATTCGGATCCAAGACCAGCAAGAAGGATCGTGAGATACATCTCACGAGGGAAGTATTCCCCACTTTTCTCCAGTTGATCTCGTAGTGTACGGACGCGGTTGACGTAATCCATGACGTTCTCATGTGTCATCATCTGCACACTTGTTAACTGCGAAAGAATCTTACTCACTGTTATTGTATCTTTTGCCATATAAACCCCCTTCAAGTGGTTCCATGCAGTTTCAGCTGGTGTAAAGCTTGAATGAAACGATCGGACACCAAGTTGCTCCTTCGGCGACAGGTTCCGTACAAGGGCCGTATATGCCCCGAGAGAGGCGTGCAAGAAACTCTGCTGCTCCAGTTGTATTCCCACGACAGGATAAGTAAACTCGCCGGTGAAGAACGGCCATAGCCCAGTGGACTGCGCAAGAAGCTCAAACTCGAAACTCCAGGAGTAAAAATCCACTTCGTTAAAAGGTATGGTTGTCTTCATCTGTGTACCGTTAAAAAAAAATTGGCGGTTGATAAATAATACCCGGTTGTTGAGGCTATTGCTGTTGCTGCTGTTGCTGCTGTTGCTGGTGGTGCTGTTGCTGCTGTTGCTGTTGGTGCTGTTGCTGCTGCTGTAATTGCTGTGGCTGTTGATGCTGTTGTTGTTGTTGCTGTTGCTGAGCAGGGGGACGCCCGAAGATGTAAAAGGGATGCTGCTGCTGCTGTGACTGCGGCTGCTGCGCAATAGGTGAGAAAGCAAATGAACCAGTACTTGGAGCTGTGGCTCCACGCATATAACTTGAGCTGTCAAGGCTCATTCCACTGAACGTCGAAGATATAGATTGAGTTGAAAACGGTGGTTGTGCTGATGCCTGTTGCTGTACTGATGCTTGTTGCTGTGCTGTTGTCTGTGTTTAATGGTGTTGTGCTGCAGGGGCAGTTGATGACATCCCTGGAGTACTGACAAAAGACGGATTCTGCTGCTGCTGCTACTGTTGCATACCGATATGCGCATAAGCCGGTGGAAACGGTCCAGAGGCTGAGAGACCAGTGGCGGTCGTGGAGACATGTACTCCAGTAGTTCCGGAAGTTGATCCGGCAGACGGTGCTGGTGATGAACCAGTCATTGTTGACAGTAGTCTTGATTCCAGATAGGTCTCATACCATGTAATAATTTGACACGTGTTTCAGGAGACTTCGTATAAAATCTGCAAACACGAACACTTGGAAAACCTCAAGTGTTAACCTAGGATCTTTACTTGAATGGTAGACTAGTAAGACAACGGAAGTCTTGTAAGAGTGAACCTGAGTATATATTTCCGTGGAAGTCAAGTCTCAAAGTTCTCAAAATTGAAATCTCAAGGTTAATAATACAAGGACACAACAAAGATTTATAGCTCTAGGAAAGTATCTATTTGCTAATGTACATGTTCGTCACTATCGCGCTATGCGCCCTAGATAATAATGAAGAGGTGCGACTATTCGCGTGACTGAAACGACTGTCCTATGACGAGCGCTATTTGCTGACGTCATCCTACGGACTTATCTTCTACAGTAGGATTCGATACTATCTATCGATAAACGACTTACAGAAATGCTAAGTATGAATTATATGACAATAACTTCAACCCTCTAATCTCAGCCTGGAAACAACTTAGGCACTCTAATGTGTTTTGGCCTGACCAAACATGCCACTCCCAGAACCCGACCCTTAAAAACATGGGCTGCAGCAGGGCACCCTGAGCCATCAGCCCTTCAAAATCCAATCTGAAGCCCTGCCGCAGGCCCCTAGATTGGTTTTTAGGAGCCTTGATCGCTCAGGATTCCCTCTGAGTTTTTCTCTGTTTTTTCAGGGTTGGTCCCAAAAAAATTCCTCGTGAATCAGGACTCATAGATGTTTTTTTCCTGAGCAGACAGAGTTACTTATGGAGTCTTTCCTGATTTCTTGGAGGTTCTTAGCGCATGCTTTAGTAGCGAATTCATGCTTGCAGGGTGACTCGGGTCAGGTGGGCAAGATTGCAGGGGTTGAGGGAAATTTCGCCCAAAATTTGGCTAAACGCCAAGTGCCCACCCTCACACTGCCCCCACGCGTCGAGCCACAAATTTGGTGAAGGGCCAATAAGCGCTCTCACAGAGCCTAGAGGGAGGGCCAGAACATCTGAAATCTCTGCAGGCTCCCAGGTCACGCATTGACGGAAACAGGCACAGTTTCATTGCAAAGCTGAAATTTCAGGATTCGTTAAGAAAACTTTGCGTAGCAATCAGAGTTGACCCCCCCAAAAATCCTGAATAAATAGGAAATGCCTTTCGAAAAATCCTGGACAATCAGGACTGGTACCAGCAACAACTCTGTTTTTTTCCTGAATCAGGAAAATTTTCCTGCAATCTAGGGGCCGCCTGCCCTGCCGCATTCTAGCTCCTATGATTCATGCACTCTAGGTTGGTTGCATTGCAAGGTTTCTGTAGTGCAGAGGTTGCACAACTGTGTGGCCTATTGCTGATGGTCACTGACATTGACAAACCTCAATGATGGCCCCAGTGCCCTACGGGGTAACCCAGGTTGGAACGGTGGTTGTAACATATACAGGTTTCTCCAAAAGGCTTGGAACTGTGATGGTGCTATGTGGACCATGCACACTCCAATTTCCTTGCAAGCACGCACCATTGCCACACGTATGCTCCCCCCCCACCTGCCAGTTCCTGCGTGGTTCTCGTTTGTTCCCGGCATGGCACGCAAGGCAGGCAGCAGGCGGCAGAGGAGTCGATAGAGCAGGTCAGCAAGGGGCGATGGAAGATTGAAGATGGCAGGAGGAGGTTGGGGGAGGAGGGGGATGGAAGGAGTGGAGGGAACTGATGGGGCAAGTGGCAGCACGGACGACTTCCAGGTGAGGCTGAGCAACCTTCCAGCATCTCCATGCGCGTTGTGGAAGGGAGAGGCTTGATGCAACAGTGCACGGGCAGAGAGGGAGTCAACGAGCCTGGTGAGGGACGGGGCCATGAGAGGGTTGCCCTGTGCACACGCAGAGCTCATGGCCACGCAACTCAGCCAACCGTGGGTCCTTCTTCCTTGAGCTGCCTGTGTAGCGGCATGGATTGAGAATGCACGTGAGCAGCTCTAGCATGATTCTCCGTGCGTCCTTCTCTGTCAGCTTAGCATCTCGCTGCCAGCATGACTGGCGGTAGGCATGAGCATCCGAGCCGAGTTTTGACTCGACTCGGTGACTCGACTCGCCCATATGGGCGAGTTGAGTTTGTTTTTTTGTACCTCTGACTCGGTTAAAATCGAGTCAGGTCGAGTCACCCAAGTTTCGAGTTTTGCTCGACTTGAGGTTGGAAATGTCCCGAGTCGCTCCTGAGGCGAGTCAAAATTTGACTCGGTCGAGTCGAATTTCCTTTGCGTCGAGTCAGAATTTTGTCGGATGGTGTCGCGTCTACAGTTGCGACAAATGTACCATGCATGACGCAAGCAGCACAGATCTGGTCGAGCGGTTGTGCACGACACAAGCAAAATAGATCTTGGCATTCTGTCATGCATACGTCAACGACCACTGCTGCAAGCAAAATAGGTCTGGACAGTTAGCCGCTAGCCGCCGGCTAGCCTCGCGTTAGTCCCCAGATTGCCAGGTTAGGCCTTCCTTCAGCCGCATGTTAGCCAACAGTTAGTCGACGCACCGCACTTGTGCCTTCTATTAGCCAACCTTGTTCAGGTTTGCACGTCACTCCTCGAACAGCCGCACGTTTGCCAGATCTGGGCTCGCCGATCTGTTGTTTCTAGCCTAGGTTCGCACAGTCATCGCGTTTCTCGCCCTGCCCGGACGCCAGCTCAAAGCCCGCTCGCGAGCTCGACGTTTGCCATGCATTGCCCTCGTGCCTGCCTTCGACCTACTTGATAGCACACGGCTCGCCTCTAGGGCCTTCTCGCTCCCAGCTGCTCCTATCCGCCTACCACCCGCTTCCGATCGCCCGCTTCCGACCGCATCCGCCTGCCGCTCACTGCCGCTAGCATCGGCCTGCCACCACACATCGCCCGCGTCCGATCGCCGCTCGCATTCGCCACGCATCCCATCATCCACATCTGATCGGTGCTCGCATCCGCCAGCCGCCACGCATCCGATCGCTCCCACCAAGGGGCTGCCGCTGCCATGCGGAAAAGGGCCAAGGGTGTGGGTATTGGGGGGAGGGGTGAAAAAAAAAATGAGGGCAGCGGCGCTGCGCAGCAGCCATCTATTGCCCCGAAACCTTCCGGACAGCAGGGTGATGCTGAGCGTCCCCAGTGGGAGATGCTGCCAGTCTCGAACACTTTTGTCGGATTCAGTGTGACACCTGAGGGCACTCAGAATCCCTGTGGCAGGGAGGCGCTGTCGCAGCGAGAGGGTGACGACGAGGAGCATGGGGATCTATGGGCAGGCGTGGCGAACGTTTATGCCAGCATTGCAGGTGTGGGGGGGGGGATAGGGAACTGGGGTCAGGGGTACATGGAGGTATCCGCGTGGCGGCAGCTGACAAGAAGAAGGGGAAGGGCGAGGGTGTGAAGCAGAAGAAATCTGCCAGGGGGATGAAAGGGGATGGTGAAAAGGAGAGGGAGGATGACTCGGACGAGGGGGAGGAGGAGGCGGAGGAGGAGGGGTGGGAAGAGGAAGAGGAGGAGGGGGATGAAGACGAGGGGGAGGGGGATGAGAGCGAGGACAACGACTCAGATAAAGGCTCTGGGTCAGAGTACGATGCGGAGGACGACCGAGGGGTGGACCGTGACGATGATGAGGATGACGTTGAGGGCTCAGAGCCCGAGGACGCAGATGTCCTTGGCGACGAAGTGGGGGCGGGTACTGAGGATGCCGCGGGGGCTTCGATCACTGCCAAAAGCCGGGCGAGTCATGGAGCTGAGGGTGGAGGGGTGCGGCGAGCTGGTGATGGTGAGGGGAGGGAAAATAGGGGCAGCTACAGCCGCCTTCGGGCCAAGAGCAATAAGGGAGGCGGAGGAGGGGCAGGAAGGTGCATGGCTAAGAAAGGTGGGCGGCAGTGCGTGCAGCCTCAGGGTGCCGGCAGAGGATCAGGCCAGTGCAGGGGGGGGATTGAGGTGCAGAGGGGTCAGGCGAGGGGGAACGCCGCCATGGACGGGCGGGGCACCAAGCGGCCTGCCCGAACTGTGGCAGGGGGGTCGGAGCCTTCCACTGCCCGGGCTCGGGGGGGAGAAGAAATACAGCCTCCTCAGGTGGCGAAGTGTTACGAGGCGAAGACTGAGGGGACAAACAAGCGTGTTTGCAAGGTTTGCAAGAATCTGATTGTGTTTCCAGATTCAGGGACTACAACTGGCAGGAACCACATGCAGCGTAAGCACTGCGCCCACTGGGATATATGGCTGCGGCGAATGCAAATAGATGGCGAATTTCCTGAAGGCGGGTACAAGAACGTCCCTGACACAAAGGGGGAGCCTTGGGTGGGGTCGGAAAGCTGGCCGCACCAACCTGGAGTCACCGGTGTAGAGGCGGGCGCAGGGCAGCAGACCTTGGAGGTTTTCATGCAGCCGCGCATCACACGCCAGCGAACGAGGCAGCTGCTGGCGGAACTGCTTGCCGATGCTGACCTCCCATTCCGCCTGATGGATCGATCGACGGTAAGGCATATGTACAAACGTGGCAACCTACCACGCACTGATGTGCTAAACCACACGCGTGCCCTTCCCCAAATGCAGCATTCCCCTCCTTGGAGTTGCTAATGTGCAGGGACTGCCTATCTCACCCGTATGCACATCCCCCCGTGCAGTTCTGGCAGTATAGAGCTTACCTCAACCAGCAGTGCGGCGACGATGGTTTCCTCCCGAGCCGCTGGGCAGCTGCACGCGACATGATGGCGTTGTCCGAGCAGGCCATGACTTTGCTGCGTGCTGAGCTGACATCTGGGGCAGGGGGTGGGAAGGTGTCACTTACGACCGACATCTAGTCGGGGCAGGATAGGAGGGGGTACATGACGGTCACAGGGCACTTCATCGACTCTAAATGGGAGCTGCGCTCCGTCGTTTTGGAGTTCAAGGAGATGCCCGCCAGCCACACTGGCTTGGCAGTAGCCATGGTGCTGGAGGAAACAGTTGTGGCCTGGGGGTTAGAGGGGCGGGTTCTCGGCGTGACGACTGATAACGCGGAGAACAACGCAGCAGCCATGCGCTGTCTCAATCAGGGAGGGCCCACCGGCCGCACAGTCCCGCTGTTGCTGGTGGCATTCCACTTCCAGTAAGAGCTGGCAGGGCGAACTAAGCAATGCTAACTGCCTGAACTCATCGGGTTCATCCGAGGTGTATGGTGTGCGCTCTTGCTAATGAAAGATCCGGCCTTTTGCCTAGCCATACCAGCAACAGCCGCCCCTTCATACCCCCACCCACCCCCCTCCCTCCTCCCCCCCCTATAGCTGCCTCGCCCATGTTCTGAATCTTGCGGTTCAGAAGGCACTGAAGGAGGTTGTGGTCAAGGCAGCCGTGGCCCGTTTGCGCGCCATCGCCAATTATGTGAGAGTACGACCCCGTTACACCAATTTCCCCTTTCCATATTTCCTTTCTATTTCATTCCTCTTTTTATCCTCATTCATTTGGTCTTTATCTCATCTCATTTGGTTTCCTATGCCTCCTTTTCCATTATCCTTTGGTTTATCCTGTTATTATAATCATATCACCGACCAGGCTCGGGATGTACTGGCGCGCTATATCTAGTGTAATCCTGCCGTAATCCCTTAAAGCCAATAACCTCGCGTGGCTATACGCAGGGTGATTCTATTTCTCGAAGGGTCTATTCCCTTTGGATAGGATAAACCTGGTTACCTGATGTACTATGGAAGTATAAAAGCACCTTGTACTGATTGATAGTGCAATATTGAGCAAACCTTTCCTCGGGACATTCGATCCTGTGACACTTCGTAATCAGAGCCAAGGTTTCAGCTCAACGCTTAACCGCTGGGCCCCCAGGAGCACGCCGAGGATGGAGTCGAAACTTCAATTCCTGTAAGTACAATGCACTTTCATTTAAGTTTCGTCTCACTTCTCGCAGTTGCACCTCGGGTCCCCTTCGAAGGCGAGATGCCTCGCCGACCGTTCGATGGACTGCATCGACGGTGCTGATTTTTCGCGGGGGCAAACGGCCTCGACCTGGCGATCGCGTCAGTTCCGGCGGAACACTCCCTGCGACATTCGGAGAAGTTCGCAGTTCGCGACGACACTTGGGGTTGCGCGGAACTCTGCGGAGGTTCGACCGACGACATCCGTCCGATGGAGATTCGACGCTTCAGATCGACCGAGGCGATAACGAAATCCTGCTGAGAGAGTTCGAGTTTCAGGGCGAATGGGAACAGGACCTTGCAAGCCGCGAAGTTCTTCAGAGCGTCCGATCGTTCGACAGCCGACATCGACGATCGAGAATTGCTGCAGGAAACGAGTCAACCCGTGCACCGAAAGCTGCTGAACGCGACTCAGGAGTATCCTCAAATCGCTTGGAGTTTGGACCGTCGGATCGACTTCTACTTCAACGGACGAAATGGAGCGCGACTTCTGCACGAAGGGAGAATGACGCGCAGAACCAGAAATTGACCGCCTTCAACATCGTCGACAACACTTGGACAACCAAATTCGGACTCCTCTATTTGGTGACGAATATGGTGCGCAAATCATCTGCGAAGTCAGAAATCTGCCAGAGTATTACCTACTTGGTAATATCTGCATGCAGAAAAATGACAGGAGAACGTGGATCGTCGGATCGGTGCGGAATCAACGGCACGAATGAAGCGGAAAATACACTATGGGAAATCATCATCATGGAGACAACATTCGTGACCAGCGACTGCACAATCGACGCATCTTCTGACTGGTGTCGATAACGATCGAGTTATTTTGACGAAGTCATCTTCGTTAAAAATGGATCGACATCAACACACCGAGATCTTCACCCAGGAAAAACAATGGAGCTGCATGAAGACATGTTCTCCATCCACGAGACACTTCTTCAATCAAATTGATCGACAACCTATGGGATTGCAGAGAAGTAACCGTTTTCTCTTGCAATGCTCCCAAGTTCAAGTTGCTGCGAAGGAGCAGATTTCGCACGCAACGACGACGCAGTGAACCCGTCTCGTCAAGGCCAGCGATACACTTCTTCGTAACAGAAGCTGAACGATTCGTCTTCATCAAGAATCTCAGCCATCCGAGGTGATTGATTGGAGCAGTCTCAACATCGACCTCACGAGGCGACACACCAATCATGCGTCGCGATTCCAGGTGGTAATGACCTGCGTGGAAGAAAATTCCGTGCATGTCACGATGCTTGACAGATTGAGGAGTAATTAACCTCTAATCCGGCAAGTACTTGTTCACTAGCGACCCTACGGCACATGCATTGGAGGCGATTCTACCAGAAGCCGAAGCGTTACAAGCACCAACATAACTTTGACGATGCAGGAGAACGCCAAGCAACACGAGGTGTCAACAAATGAGGGAGATGCGGACTACTACAACACGATCACGCGCTCTACCGACTGTACATCGGAGACACGGATGAGCATACCAGGAATTGCTACCCGTGGATACATTGAGGGGAGAAGCAAATTTCTCTTCATACCCTCAAATGAAACAATGACCGGCAGCAATGGAGCAACACATGTGTACTAATGTGCACGTGTTCCTGGTAGTTACGCCTGTTACACCCATCAGGAACACTCTACTGGGAAGAGGGAGTTGATGGATTCTCCTTCAACCATTACGAGTTAAGAGAATTCTCTGCAGCAGTTGCCGCCGTCGCCATCGTCGCAACCGCCGCCGCCGCCGCAGCAGAAGACTCGACACAATAGTCACAACCAAATCCTGATGGATGATTCTCCACTCAATGGATATAATGCTGGATTATATTCCAGTGGATCGTTAAGTCCCGGCCAGGCACAGTCCTATGATTTCCAGCTAGTGGGAAGGAGATACCACTATGCGAGGGAACATCATGGCAATGCTCATGTACCCTCAAGAGCACAAGATATTTGCTCTCATGAGGATGGGAGGACTACGGTACTCTACCGGTATACATGTCCTCATGGCCTATGGCTTTCCTTAAAGTCATAAAACCTGCGTCGCAACCAATCCATCACCAGCACCAACTCCACGGAAGCAGATAGGCGTGGAATGGAGCGCCGACGCCACTCCGGATAGTGGACTCCGCGTATCTCCAACAACACCCCTGTTTGCCGAAATGGAGCAGACTTCAACATCGATGCTGAGTAGCTGAGACATCTTCGACATCAACGCTACTACAAGGACAGTGACAGAATAAGACAACACATGATGGCACCAGAAGACCTATCCCAATATGTGCGCCCAGACACCGATGCCTACCGATGGCCTCCGTGCTAAACTGGACGTGCATAAGGTCATACTGGATTGGCTGTCAGCAATGCTCATTTGGGAATGGGAGAGGATTATTTGGGAATACCCCTAATATTTCCAGATGTCCTAACCCATCACCATTGGATATCTACGCAGTTGAGATTCCTTGCTTGAGCAACCACCGAGGGAAACTACTTGGCGCCAATTCTGGAAGTTACCAGGTCCGCGTTTATGGTACCAACCCCTCGCATGGTTCTGAACACAAGGGATACACTGACCAGCACTTCGCATGCGCTGTTGTACTCAAGGCAGTGTGACTAGCAGACCGCGTGGTGGACAGGGTTACTACTAGTGATTCTGCTCTCCATTCCGCAGCACTACGATGCCGAGTGGGTACGACTCACGACAACACTACGGCATGGATCAACATTCGACAGAAGCTGCATGTAACGGATACAACACTGCTACAGAAGCAGTACTACGACACAACTGCCATACCACGAACACTTGGTGATCTTCACACGTGGACCAGATGCGGGTAACAGTATGCACGGATCGGACAACATAGCCACTCATCTGCACGTTACAGCACACTGTTCCAACCATTCACATCTCCAACTCCGACTTCCATCTGCCCGTCCTGGAGTTTGCCTACAAGTATGCTCCTGACGCCGCTACTGGACAGACGCTGTACTTCGTTTGTTACGGACGCCACCCGATCACACCACAACAGCTAACCATACCAGCCACAGTCCAACTGGCTTCCGATTTCATCGCCATCGTCCACCATCTTGTACATCGACCACACAAGCACCTCTTGGACATCCGACAGCAGCAGAAGCACCTGGCTACTCATCACCACAGTTATCCACACCATAATCTCGACATCTGCCATCTTCTATCCAAGCGTCAACCCTGCTTCTACGGGTCTATCATCGTTGAAGCAAGGGTCACTTCATTCACCTTCCGCTTCCGCCTACCAGCCACTTGGAAGTTCCATTACACCTTCCATACAAGCTTCTTAAACCCTATCAAGATCAAACGCGCTTTACAACGAATGCCAACCACCGCCGCCGCCCGTGTTCATCCACGCCATGGGACAATTACGTGCGCGAACACCGTCGTTGTCAGAATGGCACTCTGGAGCTTCTTCTTTGCTGGAAGGATTTTGATCCTTCTAACGCTACGTCTCTGAACTCGACATGGGTAACACCCGTCGTCCTCTTCGCGACTACCTTGTCAAGCAGGGTGTTACTTCTACCACCCAGCTTTGAGGGGGGGAAGTGTGAGAGTACGACCCCGTTACACCAATTTCCCCTTTCCATATTTCCTTTCTATTTCATTCCTCTTTTTATCCTCATTCATTTGGTCTTTATCTCATCTCATTTGGTTTCCTATTCCTCCTTTTCCATTATCCTTTGGTTTATCCTGTTATTATAATTATATCACCGACCAGGCTCGGGATGTACTGGCGCGCTATATCTAGCGTAATCCTGCCGTAATCCCTTAAAGCCAATAGCCTCGCGTGGCTATACGCAGGGTGATTCTATTTCTAGAAGGGTCTATTCCCTTTGGATAGGATAAACCTGGTTACCTGATGTACTATGGAAGTATAAAAGCACCTTGTACTGATTGATAGTGCAACATTGAGCAAACCTTTCCTCGGGACATTCGATCCTGTGACAAATTACCTAGCCTTTTCTACCCGCGCAGCCAAGGTGTTCCAAACTGACCAGGCGACTTTGAGCCCGGGCCAGGTGCCCCTAAAGCTGCTCCAGGACAGCGAGACACTTTGGGGGTCCAGGCACGCGATGATTGAGCGTGCAAGCAAGCTGCGCCAAGTGGTTGACTTCCACTTGGGCACAAAGCAGGTACGGTCATGGGGTGGCTTCCCGGAGGTTCTAGTTGTCTCATGGAGCCGGCGGTGCGTCATGCCAGCAAGACACCCCGGTATCCCGGGGAGTGGCAATGCTATGGGGAATGCATTGGCAGCAACCACCCCCATTTGCGGCTTGTACCACATGTCTTGCCCACCCCCAGACCACGACGCATGACCAGCAGCGCTACGGCGGCTTGGCCATGTCCCCGGAGGACTGGGCAGCTCTGGAGGTCGTGCAGCGTTTCCTCGAACCTTTCAGTGGGATCACCCTCGAGGCTGAGGGGGCCCGCTATCCAACGGTGAGTGGAGTCGTGCCGGCCTTCAACCTGCTCATGGACCTGCTCGAGGAGAAGTTCCACTCCACCAAACCCCCCCCCCTGCGACCTGCATCGAAAGCTTATCCTAGAAGCCCTGCCTGTGCTGAAGAAGCACTATTGTGGCAGCCCAGATCAACTGGTGGTGGCGACCTTCCTAGACCCTCGCTACAAGCTTGGGTACTTCGAGCTGCCGCACTGGGAGCAGGCCAACGAGCGGCTGGCAGCAGCAGTAGGAGGGCAGGGAAGAGCGCAGGCCGCATCTGCAGTAAAGCCGGCAGACGTGGAGAAGGCTGTGAGGAAGGCCTGGGAGCCTTACCTCAAGCGGTATCAGGAGGCCGCGGGGATAGTCGGGGAAAGTGCAGGGGCGGGCACATCTGAGGGGAGTGGGAGTGGGACGGGCGGGGAAGCTGGAGGTGGTGTGGGGGTTCTTAAGACGTTGCATGCCCGGCTGGCAGCTCTGAACAAGGGCACCCCAAAACCCACACGGGACGAGGTTCAACTCTACCTGGAGGACGGGCTGGCCAAGGGGGATTGCTGCCCCCTGGAATATTGGCGGCGCCGTACGGATCTTCCGTCCCTCAGGGAGATGGCCAAGGACTACCTTGCCATCCCCTCAACCTCGGCTGCTAGCGAGCGGGTCTTCTCGCAGAGTCGGAACCTTATCACGTGGCAGCGGTGCCGTTTGAACCCTGATCGGGTGCGGGCGGCCATGCTGCTCAAGTCGTGGACATCGGGACATGGGGGAGAGTGGCTGGTTGCACAGGGCCTGGGCGATGCAACCGTGGATGCGGTTGGGGAGCTCATGGTGGAGGGGGTCGAGGAGGATGAGTAGAGTGTGTGGTCTCAGGGGAGAAGGGGTTGCAGCAATAGAGGGTGTGCTGGTGTCCTTTGTATCTGTCCCGTCGTTGCATGTGTGGCTGCAAGTGCATGTGCATGCGTGGCTGCAGGTGCATGTGTGCATGCATGTCTCCCTGCATGTGCATGTGTCGCTGCAAGCAAGTGCATGTGCGTGCGTGTCTCCCTGCATGTGCATGTGCATGCGTGTGTGTGCTTGTGTGCTACGACAGGTTCATGTGCATGTGTTCAAAAGGGTTTTGCGCAGCTCAACCTGGCCACTTTTGGCAGCCATTTGGTGGGAGCATAGACTAAACCTAAACCACCATTAAGTTATTGCTGAGTCCAGATGTTGCATGGTTTTTGCTTTGACAAACTGCCGCAGGGTTTATATACCCTGTAAATCTGAACCTCCGCTCCTTTTGTTCCAACACTCGCGGCAACATATGGCCATTTGCCAAACTCAGGGGTAGGGAAGGGCTGAGCGACACAGGGCAAGCCGTTGTGTAATTGTTGGATCTTGTGACCGCAAACCCAATCCGGTGGTGTGTTAAGCTTGTGTGAGACTCCTACCACCTGCTCAACTAGTATCCGTTTATGGACTAACCTTCCCAACCCTGGCCCAGCCCTGTAGTGCATATTTCTGCATGGTGTTAACGTAGGCAATAGAGGTTCTGGCTGGCATGTAAGCTACTCCCTCCCAGTGGTTTCTGTTGGAAATATCTCAAGGACTTAAGCGTTTCTGAAGTGTAACTCCACACTCGAGGAAGATCGTAACGAGTACGCGAGTCAACGGAGGTTACACGAGGGGATGGACGAAGAACACGAAAGGACTCGAAGGGTCGCAACCGGAGGTTGCGACTGACCGTTACAACTGCAAGAATGGTAACCGAAGCGACAATCGAGTCGCTGTGCGACTCGATAACCGCCATTCAACTGTATTCTACAACTGCTTGTTTTCTACTTTCTATATATTGCTGTATGCTTGTTCACTTTAATCAATCACTTGTTCTCATATACTAGTACAAGGGTTCAACTACTCAACTTCCGCTGCACTACTCAAGTCTCACTTTCAACTGGGACTTAGTCTCTGGAAAGATCCTAAGGGCTTTTATCAGCCCAACATGGTATGAGAGCTGGTCAGAGACCAAACTCCCAGCAAAAACGTTCTATCTGGAATCAGCACATCAACGACTCCATTGATTACAAGTCATGGACAGCAAAGGAAAGAAAACCTCTACGGGCTCACCCAGTGCCCAAGATACTCAACTCGGCAACTCTGGACTGCACACTTCAGGACTGCAAACCGAGACCGGCGCTGCTCAAGAAACAATAGGAAGAGCACCAGAAATGGTGACCTCATCACCCTCTTCAAGCGTGGACCCGAACCTTATGGAAAGGTTCTTCAGCTTCATGTCACACTTTGATCAGCAACAGCAGACAAGGACACCTGCGCATTCAACACAAAGCAACGGAGGAAACATGGGATTAGCGCCGATGAGTCTCGACAACTCATCGTTCGGGCGACACAATCAAGCGCCTACCTTTGCGCCTTATCACTCTTCACCGGGGACGTTCGAGTTCATGCCGCCCCGTGCCCAACCAACAGCAGCTGCATCACAACAGACACCAAACGAGATTTTAAGTCTCCAAGCGCAGTTTTCATACGTGATTAAACTGCAGACATCCTCACCATTCAACGGACACAATTTCTTTACCTGGAGTTTTGAGTTCAAGCTGCTGATGGAGGCTGCGCATCTCTTGGGATACTTCAACGGTTCCCTGCCATTCCCAAGCAACGGCACTGCAAAAGAACAAGAAATCTTGACGTATCAGTCGCTGCTGGCGTACACAGTTCTCCTACAGAACCCGTCACCACAAGAACAGCAAAGCATCAGAACGTATAGGAGTTACGGAAACTCCGCGGAACTCGCATGGCATCACCTCAAGTGCCTCTATCAAGCAAATGATAGCGTGACACAAAGCAGAATCATGCAGCAGCTGACAACAATACAGATGAAGACCGGAGAAAAAACGATGCAGTATATGAGTTGATGCCAGACACTCCGCGACCGCATGCTTCGGTGCGGAGGAACAATCACTGAAGAAAGATTCGTGACGCTTGTCCTCGCTGGGCTCGGGCCAGAATGGCGAACCACCTGCTCGCTCCTTCGCGCCCACGGACGAATCTCGGAGATGCACCTCTGCAGCGAGCTCCATGCTGAACAACAAGAGATGGACCTGTTTGAAGAAAGACAACCAAGGAAACAACAACCATTAGTCTTCTACACTCAACGAAGACACGACAACAACTACGACCAACGTGGCAGGCAAGATCAACGCGACAACAGAGGACTCACCATTGTACCGCCGTTCTGCCACAACTGCCAAACATCCGGACACTCCAAAGTCAACTGCACACGTCCCCGAGCTTATCGTCCAGTAGACCCACAAGTCGCTTCCACTCAAGAAAGTCCGCCGAGGCGTTCTTCCACATCTGCACAAAATACACCGAATATCATCAACTGCATGGTACACATCGACAAGTGCGCACCCGGATCACCACCAACTTATGCTCCCGATGAAGAACTGTCGCCGCCGAGCTCACAGGGACTTCAGGTCAACCCAAAGTACGCTGCAGTCGCCAACTCCGAACCCACCGGACGCAACACTTGGTTCTTGGACAGCTGTTCCGGCCAACACATGTGTTCTTCCGGGCGTTTCGTATAACGAGAACGACGTCTCAACCGAGACGTCATCATCACCGTCGCCAACAACGAGAACCTGAAGACAAACAGACAAGGAGTGGTTCAGTTACAATCCATGGAGACAAACGTTATACTGCAACTCAACAAGGTCCTCATCGTCAACAAGTTGGGATACAACTTACTAAGCGTCAGCCAGTTAATGGCAAAAGGAATTCACCTGGAGTGCGACTCGGACTCCAACGAATTTCGCCTATACCACGGGAAGGGCGGTCTCTTCATCGGTCGCGCTCTACTGAAGTCTGGCGTCTTCGTGTTGGACTTCGTCCCCGACCGCGGTACCACTGATAGCGATGGCATCGTGTCATTCGCCGCATGGACACACCCACCAGACCTTGACCCCGACTTCAACCAAGATGGATACTGGTACTCCAACACCATACCTGCAGCAGAGAGAACACGGGCGTTAGTAGTCATTCGACAAGAAAGACAAGTACCGGCAAGCGTCTCTTCATCGACATCACCTGAAATCACAGCAGCAGGACTCAGCAGAGTATCACCACCAGCAATCCGAGGACAGCCAACCGAAGCAGATCAACTCATGCCCACCACACGCGAAGTCTGCCGAAGTCCCGAAACCGTCGTCGCGTTCTTCTCCAACACCGACATGTATCACCGATCGCCCGGCCATCGAGCTCCCGACGACATCTGGCATCAACGCCTTGGGCATCCTGCAAATAGCACGGTACTACAAACCATCCAAGCTGAAGTGTTAGAACGAAACGCTCTCCTCACAACAAGCGGACAGGAACTTCGACGACCTCGCGCACGGTGCTTCACATGCCCCGAAGCAGATCTTCAACACCAACCTTTTCCGTCACATCACAATCCAAGCGCACCTGCATACGCACCGATGGAAAAGGTTTACAGCGACATCTTAAACATGCCTCGAGACGACACTGAAGTCGACTTCAACTATGTCATAACGTTCATCGATGCAGCAACAAGCTATGTTTGGCACTACAACCTCAAAACGAGAGACCAAGCCTTTGAAGCCTTCAAGACGTGGCGTCCCATCGCTGAACGAGAATCAGGAACGAAGCTCAAAAGCTTCCAGTCAGACGGCGCACTGGAATACCAGTCACAACGCTTCAGGACCTACTTGGCGGAAAGAGGAATCAGACGATTGGTGTTTCTGCCCTACGCTCACCAGCAGCAGGGGGTCGCAGAACGAATGAAACGGACCTTGCAGACGACGATGCGAAAGCTGCTCCTGGGGATGAGACTGCCCAACACACTGTGGCCAGACGCGATGACACATGCAGTCCACCTGCACAATCTGTTATCATCGTCATCGCTTCCCAACAACGCATCACCGCACCTGCTGTGGACACGAAAAAGGGGCAGCACAAAATTACTTCGAGTTTTCGGCTGCATGGTACAGTACAGACCCCACACAGCCCGAGTAGGACGCTTCACTCAACGAGCTCGGTGGGGACTACACATCGGCATCGCCAAACATTTTCACGCATGGAAAATCCTCGACATACAAGACAAAAATACCGTGGCATCACGTGATGTTATCTTCTACGAGCGACTGACGCTGCAGCATTACCTGGACAACATTGCCAACACACACGACCCCACCGACGGCCTCGCGGGCCTTCGTTCCTTCGCCGACCGTGCTGCCGAGGCTGACGCAGCAGAAGAAGACGTACCTGGAGCCTCGGAAGCTGCCGGACCACTCCCTTTCTGTTCCGTACCTGTTCCACTCGACGAAGACAATCCTATCGATAGCAACAACCTCGACACCTTCTACCACTTCGCTGACCAAGGCTACGCTACACCTCACCCGGTCGACACGAATATCTCAGAACGCATCGGCCCCAACTTCTTACCTGATCCAGAAGATGGTGACGAAGCAGCCTATTCCGAGAATGAAAATTCCCCTCGACACACACCCACGGGACTGCAAATCCTCGGCTTATGGGTCTCCGTCCAGCACCCGCCGCCGCCATCTCCGCGTGAGCCAACGACTCTGTCGCAGGCTCTGGGGGGAGAACATAAGGCGAAATGGAAGGAGGCAATGGAAAAGGAACTGAAAGCTCTGCAAGACCGAAATGCATGGAAGCTGGTACCTGCAACGAACGTCAACGGGAAGAACGTTCTCTCGGGAAAATGGGTGTACCGCATCAAGACCAATGCGGACGGCTCCATCGAACGATTCAAGGCTCGCTGGGTCGTACGAGGATTTGACCAACGATACGGAACCGACTACACAGAAACATTCGCCCCAGTCTCTCGTCACACCTCCTTGCGCATCCTACTCGCCGTCGCGGCCACAAAGAAACTACCACTGCGCCAGATCGACGTCGCAAATGCCTTCCTGTACGCACCTGTGGACGCCGAAATCTTCGTCGAGCAGCCCCACGTATTCATCGACGACCCCAAAAAAGTATGCCAGCTGATAAAATCCCTTTACGGGATCAAGCAAGCCCCGCGGCTCTGGCAGCAGCACCTTCACGGTCGCCTCGTCAGAATCGGATTCCTACAACTGCCGCATGACCAAGGCATGTACCGACGGCAGAAGGGAAGAGAGTATATCCTACTCATCGTTTACGTCGACGACCTGCTCTACATCGGTTCCACTACCGACATCGCCACCTGGTTCGAAGGGGAACTGAAAGAGGACTTGACATTCACGGTGTCCGACACAGTGACCCAGTATCTGGGTCTGAATGTCGTCGAAGACAACTCGGCGTTCTACCTATACGCTGGAAAGTACGCAGGCGTTGTGACAAAGAAGTTCGGACTAACACCAACTACAGTCGCGACTCCCTACCGCTACGGGAACAACAACGACACCTCCGCAAAACTCCCCGCGAAGCAAATCCGGGAGTATCAGCAGAAGCTCGGCTGCCTACTATTCGCAGCAGTAACCTGCCGACCTGACCTATCCTACAGCACAAGCCAGCTGGCGACGCATCTGAAGCAGCCGGAACAAGAAGATCTCGAAGAACTAAACCGGGCACTACTCTACTTCGTCTCTACGCCGACGATCGGACTTACCTACTGCAAAGTAACAATACCATCCGTACAACTACTCGGATACGTCGACGCCGACCACACGGGAGACAGGGAAAATCGACGATCGAGAACGGGCTACATCTACCGACTAGAACCTATCGGGACGATCTCGTGGCAGTCGAGCAAACAGGAACTAATCGCACTATCTTCGGCTGAAGCAGAATATATCGCCCTCTGTACTGCGACCAAGGAAGGACTCTACCTGCGAGAGTTGCTCGAGGAAGCGAAGATTGCGACCCTGCCCGTCTTCTCACTCCTCTGCGACAACCAATCTGCGATAAAAATCGCGAACAAGGACGGCTTCGCCAACCGAACCAAGCACATTGCCCTGCGGTACTTTTTCGTCAAAGATGAAATCGCGAAGGGGAGACTTCAACTCAGTTACTGCCCGACAACAGAAATGGCCGCAGACTACATGACGAAGAAACTGGCGAAGCCAAAGTTCGACTACTGCATGCTGCTGACCGGGCAGACAAACGTCACCAGATCTGAACACGTCAGCACTCCAGAAACGAAGGGGAGTGTTGGAAATATCTCAATAGCGTTTCTGAAGTGTAACACCACACTCGAGGAAGATTGTAACGAGTACGCGAGTCAACGGAGGTTACACGAGGGGATGGACGAAGAACACGAAAGGACTCGAAGGGTCGCAACCGGAGGTTGCGACTGACCGTTACAACTGCAAGAATGGTAACTGAAGCGACAATCGAGTCGCTGTGCGACTCGATTACCGCCATTCAACAGTATTCTACAACTGCTTGTTTTCTACTTTCTATATATTGCTGTATGCTTGTTCACTTTAATCAATCACTTGTTCTCATATACTAGTACAAGGGTTCAACTCAACTACTCAACTTCCGCTGCACTACTCAAGTCTCACTTTCAACTGGGACTTAGTCTCTGGAAAGATCCTAAGGGCTTTTATCAGCCCAACAGTTTCCACCTGCCTACCTTATTCCATACACAATGCACAAGCTGTGAATTTACCCTAAACCCAAGGCCACTTAATTCAGATCTACCAGCCCAACAAATGCGCCATGGTTTATTTACACGAAGCACAACGTAACACGGTCCTTGTCTCAAACACAATACAGCCACAAACATGGTCACGCGGACTAGAACGTCAATGGAGCTCGGAGGAGAGACCTTCAAAGTCGTCACACTGCAGGTGCGGTGCGGCTGCCAACATTGTGCAGTGCAGCTCAAACCCAACGGTATGTACCTGAGGAGGGGGGGGTTGGGATGGAGAGTGGAGGAGAAGAGCATCTGCAAGCAAAGAAGGCAAACCCTGTAGTTTACATGCATGCATGCATGTACAGGGGGCTGCTTTCGCATGCCTGTAGGGAGGATGGAGCGCCCGAAAGGTGTAGGGCGAGATCTGATACAAGGCGCTGACATTGTTGTGCCGATATGGTCAGGTATAGGGCCAGAGGTGGGTATGCCCGTAACCAAGTCGAGTTTGACTCGACTCGGGTCGAGTCAAGCCCTGACTCGGGCGAGTCACTCTGACTCGCCCCCCAATGTCCGAGTCACGAGTCAGAAACTTGGCGAAACCGACTCGGGTCCGACTTGACTCGGTTTTAGCTCGACTCGGTTCCGACTCGGGCGAGTCGAGGCTCGACTCGCCCTTTGCTCATGCCTAACTGGCGGACAGGCACGGGTGAAGCTGCTGCCCCTCGCACTGCTCTACCCAAAACAGACGACCCACTGTCTCCCCCTTCTTCACATCCGCACCCCCCCTCCCCTCCCCTCCCCCCACGTTCCCCAGCCATGCCCCTGGCTGCTTGCACCTGCCCTCCTCCCGAAAGCCCTGCCCGCCCCTCCCCTTCGTGGCAGCTCGTCTACCAGCAGCGCTGCAAGGGTGGGGTGCAGCAGGGAGTGGTAGACGTGGTGCGGCCAGCACGAGTGGGTGGGCTTGTGGGACGAAGGGAGGGGAGGGAAAGGGTGGAGGAGAAGGGAGGTGAAGAGGTGGTGAAGAGGCGTGGCAGCGTGGGATGCGAGGATGGCGGATTGAGAGTGAAAGAGCGTGGTGGCAGGGAGAAGGGCGAGCAAATGCTCGATGAGGGGGAGGAGGGTGAGGAGAGGGGAGAGTGGAGATGGTGGCGGACGTGCTGTGACCGGGAGCTCACACACAGCAGGGGCACGGGCAGGGGAGTTTAGTTTGGAAGCACGCAGAACCTGCATGGGTCCAAGCACAGGATGTTGAGGAAAAAGAAGAGTGGGTTACGGTGTACTGGTAGAAGAGCACACACATCCACGAAGAGCAGAGTTGGTGGTCAGTGCATACTCTGTGATGTAGACAACATGCTCTAGCTTCAATAAATCATGCTGTAACAGCAGGGCCGCCCTGTGTGATGACCTAATGCACTGGCCCGTTGTTCATTGGCAAGCATCGAGCATGGCGCAGGCCTACCTGCTGCATGCAGGTGAGGAGCTCAGATGAGCAGCTCACAGCTCCACTGCGCGCCACTTGCTGTGATTCCCTTAACCTCTTCTCATGCTCTCTCTCCCACACACACATCACCATTTCCACAGCCTTCGTCCCCTCCATCTCCCCACTCCCCCCCGTGCTCGCCAGCCTCCGCACCTCCCCCCTCTTCACCCATGGCAGTGCCACGTCATCCACCTGGCAGTGGGACGAGAGCAGGTGGCGGTGGAAGGAGGCAGAGAGGAGGGCGAAGGAGGCTTGCAGGCGGGGAAGGTGCGAGTCGGCAGCGGGCATGGCGCGGCGGTGGAGGTGGCGTGGAGAGGAGAGGAGCGCGGAGAGGCGGGACAACCAACGGTAGCACCAGAGAGCCAACTTGTGCTGCAGAGCGGTGATGGGCGGCGGAGGGGAGATGGATGCCACATGACATGCCAACAATAATGCTGCTGTGGCGTCACAACTGGCTGGCACTGAAGGTGATGCAGGAGAGGCACTGCTTGGCGTTGCAGCCAGTGGAGAGCACATGTCCTGCTCGCTGCTCAGGCTGGTGTGGAGCTCCTCCAGCCAGGCAGTGAGGTGCTGCTGGGCGCGCTGCAACATGCGCACAGACACCTGCAGACCCGCATATGCCAGCATCAGCTCTGATCGCAGCTGCTCCGCCCCCTTCCACTCCCACCCCTCGGCCTGCATACACATGCCCCCCGCCATGCCCCTCTTTTCCCTCGTGCACGGGCAGGCACGGACAGGCACGGACAGGCACGGACAGGCATGGACAGGCACGGACAGGCACGGACAGGCATGGACAGGCATGGACAGGCATGGACAGGCATGGACAGGCATGGACAGGCACGGACAGGCATGGAAATGCATGGGCATGTGATGGAGTAGGCATGGGCATGCAATGAGGCAGGCACGCTGAGGTTATGGAGACAAAAACGAAGGGGATGATAGCGATGGCGCATGCAGACACAGAGGGGAGCGCGCACCCAAAGCAAGCCACATGCAGCACCTGCACCATGGTGGCAGCTGCCTCACACGGATGCTGGGCACATGCCTTCATGGGTCGCGCTGAATGACGCCACGCACAGAGCTGCAATAGCATGGAAGCGTGAGCATACGGCACGGCACGTACCTGGTTGGGGGCCAGAGCGAGTGCACGTCGCCGGAGGTGGGTTGAGAGGGCGGTGCGCACACGGCTGTGATCAGCGCCAAGTCACATGAGGCCAGGTCAGTGGGGAGGAGGCTCGGCAGCCCCGCCACCACCACCCGCACCTCCACCGCCCCGCCTGCGCCTGTTGCGGCCACCTGCTGCCGCCCCTGCTGCCTCTGCAGCCGGCTCCACGCCCTCTCTGCCGCCTGCTGCTGCTCCCGCGTTGGCACCACCACCACCACTCGACGAGGCGGATGGAAGGCGTGAAGCGGCAGCAGCCGCTCCAGCTGCTGCTGCCACTGTGCTGCCGGGCGCTCACTGCCTGCAGGGAGAGCGCAGAGAAGAGATGAGTCCATGGAGGTGCAACACGGGGAGGGCAAAGGAAAGTTACATCGCTTGGCGGCAATATAGACGCGGGCGGTTCAACACCCAGCGCTGGAGGGCGATGGCTACTTACCGCCACACAGGCGCGTGACGAGCGCGAGAGCCGCCACCACCTCCACCGTGTTCTTCCGCCCCCGCCCCGCCTCCTCCTCCGCCGCTCCCCTCGTTCCCGCGCTCCAACGCTCCCCAGCGTGCGCGCAGTCCTCCCGGCCTTCCACCGCCAGGAACGCGCACCTCCCCACCCACCCCTCCACGTCCGCACCGCTGCCGCCGCTGCCCACTTGCGCCATGACGACGAGAGGTGAAGGGGAAAAACAGTCTTAACCAGAGCCTCGCAACCGCTAGGATAGCCCGTCTTAAGCGGCCGCATACGTTAGCTGGAAGGGCGAAGGGACGACTTCGCGGGGGAGTTGCTGGAGGCTCGGAGAGAGACACGGCTGTCGCAAGCAGTGAGAAACGACGGTCGGCACCGGCTGTACTGACGCCCACTGTTCAGCGAGACGGGACGAAAATATGCAATGGAATTCGTGCAAGGGTATGAATGGGCGCGGCGGCAGACGACCGTAGAGCGACGAGGCTGTTGGTTTGTACCGCGACTCCGGAGGGTCGTGCATGCACCAGCACCGCGACATCGGGCCTCGCCGCGAACGAGCTGTGTGAGTGCTTATGGCGCGCTCCGCGCGATTGACGACAGAGAGACGGGGAGGGGGCATTTTGCTGGGCCGACACAAGCGCATGTGTATGTCGGATAAGGAGCGGCATGAGCGAAGGAAGAAGATGGTGAAGGCAGAGCAAAGCCCACGCTTTCCTCACGCCTGGCGTACTCGCTTAAAGAAGCCTCGCCTACATTTGCCTAGCTGTTTGCAACAGAAAATACTTGCAAATCCAGCGAGAGATATATACACCTTTCGCCAAAGGCATAAAATATTGCTACACTTGTTCCTGATTTATGTCCCCATCGGAAGAGTCCAAATTGCAATCACACCTAAGCATATCATAAGAGCACATCCGGACAATTTGTACCGAGGACAGGCAGCAAACTAGAATCATGGAAAACTGGTACCTAGTCCAGCGTCCCTTTACGCGAATCACTGCCTTGATCCTCCTCGGCATACTGTCGATGAGGTTTGAACACACCTCCGCCGGTATCTTGTCCCATTCCTCCTGCACTCTCTCCCACAGCTCCAGCATTCCACTAGGTGGTTTTTCGTACATCGCCAGCTGCCTTTTCAAGTGTGCCCATAGGTGCTCTATCGGGTTAAGGTCCGGGGAGGACGAGGGCCATTCCAGCACCGCGTACTCCTGCTCCCCGAGCCAGTCTTGCACCAGACGGGACTTGTGCTTGGGATCATTGTCGTGCTAGAAAATGACCTCTGAGGGGGGGAGCTTGAAAAAATCGATGGTCTGTGAGAGCTCATCTTGCAAGATGCTGCGATACAGCGGCCCATCCATCCTGCCATCTATCTTGCACATGAACCCCGCCCCCTCAGACGTCAAGCAACCCCACACCATCACAGAGCCGCCCCCATGCTTAACTGTCTGTTGGACTTGATGGCTCTAGAGGCTGGTGCCCTTGCGAATCCAGGCGTACGCACGTCCGTCGGAGCAAAAACGGTTTATCTCAGTCTCATCAGACCAAATCACCCGCTTCCAATCCTCCAGCGTCCAGTCGGCATGCGACCTCGTGAAATCGAGCCGATCACGTATGTTTTTCGGTGAGAGCCTGGGTTTCTTGGGCTGCTGCACAGCGATCAAGCCCGCGGATCGTAACGAGTTCCTGACTGTCTTCGAGTCTACAGCCAGAGCGTGCTTCTCCTCTAACATCTTTGCGGCATCTACACTGCTTTTCGCCTCCCCGCTTTTAATCGCTCGAACTATTCTACGTTGGAGTCGGGTAATGATTAAGCGAGGGCGTCCGGCCGTGGGTATCGTGGGTCGCACCTCATCGCGACTAGTCTCGGCAATCACCTTCAGACCGTAATCGTGCACGGTGCTCTTGCCAATGCCAAGAACTTTGGCTATTTTCCTAGTCGAATGCCCTTAGCACAACATGCTTATGATTCGCGCGCGCTTCTTGTCATCTACCGGCTTCATCGCGATGCGGTCGTAGGTCCGCTTCATGACTAACTCCTAGACTAGCAGCTGTTGCGCGAGACGATGTGCACACTGAGTGATGGGCGAAAATAGATCTAGAACGTCGCGCGGTATGAACTGTCCGAATCGACAGCCGAGGAGTAAATCTCAACCCCGCTTTTCGGTTTTGTCATAATCGCGCCAAGCAGGATACGGCTGAAGCAGAACTCGACCTTGGAACAGAACGGAAAAAAATGGTCTCACTATTTTCGAAACAAGTGTGGCATAGCGATAAGTTTCGAAGTGCTAAACATCCGGGCAATTTTTTCCGCCACTGTACCTAGCTCTTGTAACATGGTAATAGAGCAGGTTCCCCTTCCCGGGCCTGCTCCCCACGCTTCTGGCGCGCACTCCTTCACTCCCTCTCGCGTTGCCATGGCGGCCGCGTCGTGCTGCTGTTGCGGCGTCGTCGTGCCGCGGCCGTCTCGACGTGCTGCCGTGGCGTTGCGCCGTCGTGGCGTCGACGTCCAGCCGTGGCGGCGTCGTCGACGTCCAGCCGTGGCGGCGTGACAGCGCCTTCGTGCTGCCGTCGCAGCGCCGACGTCCTGCCATGGCATCAACGGTGCACTGTGGCGGCGTCCTAATGATGCCGTGGCGGCGCCGTCGGGCTGCAGCCGGCCGCGCAACTCCTGTAGCGCCGCTCGACTTGATGCCCGCACGCCAGCCACGGGCGTGATTCTGGACCACGCCCCGCCCTCCCCACCCCCCCCCTCCTTCCCCTGCATCCCTTCTTCCTTGCCACAGCCGTTGACTACCTCGTGCATGCATTCCCACAGCTGATGAGATTGGCCATGCCGCCAAGAGGGCGGGGGCCGCTGCAGCCGCCTCTGACGTTGAAGCCGCCGCCGCCGCCGCTGTTGCCGCTGGCCAGTTGCCGCCGCACACCTCCGCCGTCGCTCTCATTACTGCTGTGCGTGCTGCCATTGCCATATCCTGTGCCGTGGGTGTTGACCGATTCCAGAGTCATCGCGGCTGCTGCTGGGAATGGGAGGGCTAGGTTAGGGGGTGTGGGTGTGTGTGGGCTTGTTACTACCAAGCCTACGGGGTGTATTAAATTATATATGTTATATAATTGTTGGCTTGGTAGGCGTTACTGAAACTTACTATAGAGGGTACAACACCCCTCCTTGTATCCGTCTCTCTTCTATTCTCGATCTCTTTTCTCTCATCAAATTTCTCCTAGCTAAACCCTCACGCCATTTCATGGCTTCCTACCGTTCCTAGCTACCTAGCTATCGTGACAACATCTTGTATTGGAAATGTCCGAAATGATAGGGATAATAATAATGAGTAATACAGACATATTTATAGGTTATGAAGTACTTATTCGGAATGTATCTGTTCGTAGTGTATCGCAACTATTCGCGTGGCATGACTAACTCTTAAAGATAGAGTCCTTCGCGAACAGCAGAGCTTATTGTGACAAATTCTGCTTCAACTGACGAAAGTGCGATAACCTCTTGTTTCGTTGAGTTCCAAGAAATGTTACCATCTGATTCAAGTTTGAAAACGAGCCCTGTACGCGAACGCCTGTTGTCGGGGTCAACAGCGTGATCCGCATCCACGTATCCATTCAGTCGAAAATTTGCTGCAGTGTTTGCCGTGTAGCTGAGACCGATTGTAGGAGTAGAAATGAAATTTTGGAGGGCTCGACGAAGATCAGCCATATTCTCCCCTTCAGGTCGGCGCAGGTGCTGTGCGAGCTGACTCATGATGTAGGCGAGATCTGGGCTGCATGTAATGTTTTTCGCAAGTTTTTCTGCGTACTTGCTTGCAGAAAGGTAGATGGCATCAGGGCCGTAGTCGACGTTTAATCCAAGAAATTAGGTGACGTTGGAGGAAATAGTAACTTCAAGAATCATTTGAATTCTTTTCTCCATGCGCGCCATAAGATTGTTGCACGAGCCGTTGTACAACAAGTCGTCCACGTAGGCAACTAGAAGAATGTTATGCCCTCGAAATTTGAGTCTGTACATTACAGGATCATGGGGCAACTGCACGAAGTCGAGTGAAATCAACATTTTGTGAAGATGCTTCTGCCATAGGCGAGGAGCCTTTTTTATGTCGTTGAGCGATTTAAGTAACTTGCAGATGTGCAGTCCATCGCCGTAAGTGTGAGGGAGTTCGACGTAAATATCTGCATCAACGTCTGCGTATAAAAAACATATTTTTTATGTCTAGTTGGCGAAGTGGCTGATGGCGGCAAGCAACAATAGCGAGAAGAATTGGAACTGAGGTATGGCGGCTGACCGGAGCAAAAGTCTGGTCGTAATCGATGCCATGGATTTGTTCGAAACCTTGAACAATCCATCTCCCCTTGAATCTATCTGGTTCGCCTACTGCGTTTGCCTTTATGCGAAAGACATACTTGCCCAAAAGATTTTTCTTGCAGCGTGCTGCTTCGCGTGGAACAAGTTTCCACGTTTTCCGCTTCTCGAGAGCTGCTATCTCTGCATCCATAGCTGCTCGCCACTTGTCAGCATCAGAGCCGGAGAGGGCATGCTTGATTGTTTTCGGCTCGATCCCGGTCGTTGGTTGTTGAACTGCAACAAGAAGTCCGAGGATCTAAAGAGCCGATTGGTCACCTCGAGGATGAGGCTGGTAAACTTCGACGACGTCATCATCATTAATTTTCGATGGCAGATGGCGAGCACCGTCATGCAATGCTGCGTCAGTTTTCTGTCGGCGCAGGTGCTCCTCATAATTATAGGCAGCCTCTGCCATGGTAGGATGCAATGGGTCCGAGAGTGGAAGAAAGAGAGGGGTGTCTGTTTTGTTGGCACGTGTCGAGTGAATATAGGAATCAAGCAATTGTTCGGCTACTGACGTAGACGGCTGCGGAACTGTAGAATGTCCTGCTGCTGAGTTGTCGAGCGGATAATATTCTTCAGCTGCATCTGCTTCGTCTTGAGGAGTGGCGAAACTCCGTTAGGCACTGTAGCGATCATTGTCACAGGATCGAATGTGTCGAGGAAAGGTTGCACTATCGATCAGTACAAGGCGCTTTTATACTTCCAAAGTACATCAGGTAACCAGGTTTATCTTATCCTAAGGGAATAGGCCCTTCTAGAAGATAGAATCACCCTGCGTATAGCCTTGCGAGGCTATTGGCTTTAAGGGATTACGGCAGGATTACGCTAGATATAGCGCACCAGTACATCCCAAGCCTGGTCGGTGATATAACTAGAATAGCAGGATAAACCAAAGGTTAATGGAAAATGAAAAATAGGAAACCAAATGAGATGAGATAAAGAGAAATGAACGAGGAAGGAAATAAGAAAAGGGACAAGTGGTGTAACGAGGTCGTACTCTCACACTTCCCCCCCTCAAAGCTGGGGGTAGAAGTAACACCCTGCTTGACAAGGTAGTCATGAGGGCGACGGGCGTTACCCAAGTCGGACGCAGGGACCCAGTTGTCCTCAGAAGGATCATAACCCTTCCAACGGATGAGAAGCTCCATGGTGCCATTCTGACGTCGGCGGTGTGCTAGCACGGACTCGACCTCGTACTCGGGTTCATTGTGGACGAGGACGGGCGGCGGCAGCGGCGGTTGGCATCCGACGAAGATCGTGTTCGGATCCCGGTAGGGCTTCAGAAGCTGAACATGGAAGGCGTTGTGAATCTTCCAGGTAGCTGGCAGGCGTAAGCGGAAGGTAACAGGAGTGACCTGTGCTTCAACGAGAAAAGGCCCGCAGAAGCGAGGTCGAAGTTTAGATGGGAGGTGGCTGATGTCCAGGTTGCGGGTGTCAAGAAGCACCTGGTCTCCCACCGTGATGGTGTGGTCGTTGCGATGGTGATCGGCCTGGCGCCTTTGATGCTGTTGAATGTCGAGGAGGCGCTTATGGGTCTGATCCCAAAGCCGATGCATGGTTGTGATGAAATCATGTGCAGGTTGTACCGTAGCGGATGTTGTCGGTTTTCTGTGGTGTGAGTGGGTGGCGTCCGTAGCAGAGGAAGAACGGCGTCTGTCCAGTAGCGGCATGCGTAGCATTGTTGTAAGCAAACTCTAGTACGGGCAGGTGCAAGTCCCATTTGGAGATGTCGTCCTTGCAGGCTGCTCAGAGGAGTTGCTCAACAATTTGGTTGAGGCGCTCGGTCTGTCCGTCTGTCTGCGGATGGTATGCGGATGACATGGCGAGTTTGGTCCCGAGAAGAGACATAAGTTCCTTCCAGAACTTGCTGGTGAACTTGGGGTCTCGGTCGGAAATGAGTGTGGTTGGGATGCCATGCTGTGAGATGATGTGACGAACGAAGAGCTGTGCTGTCTCCTCGGTGCGTGCCGTCGTGTGTGTCGGAATGAAGTGTCCCATTTTGGAGAACTTGTCAATGATGACAAGGATTGCGTCATGACTGCTGGTGGTAGGTGGTAACCCGGTGATGAAGTCTAGGCTGACCACTTGCCATGGCTGTTCTGGGACAGGAAGAGGCTGCAGTAGTCCCGCCTTTTTCTGCTTGCTGCTCTTCATCCGCTGACATGTATCACACGAGGTGACGAATTTCTGGACGTCGTCTGCCATATGGGGCCAGTAGTAGTGTTTGGCGATACCGGTGAGCGTCTTGTTGCTACCGAAGTGTCCGGCGTACAGGACGTCGTGGTATTCTTCGAGTAGTAACTAGCGCAAAGGAGGGTAATTGGGTACCCAAATTTTTGTTGATCCTTTCCGGTACGCGATGTCACTGTCCCACTTTAGCAGATGTCGCTTTTCTGCCAAGGGAATTTCGGGGTCGATGGCGTACCCGTGTGCGAAGAGTCCCTTGAGTAGTGGATTCATCCCTTCAATCTGAATGGCGGCAACGTGTGCAGGCCGGCTGAGAGCGTCTGCTTTGTTTTTGTGGCCGGGCTTGTACACGATGTTGTAGTGGAAGCGTGTCTCGAGGAAGTCGATCCACTGGACCTGCCGCCTGGAAAGATTGGGTTGTGTCTTCAAGTATTTCAGGCTGCAGTGGTCGGTGTAGACGGTTGTTCTTCGTCCTTCGAGATAACATATCCACGCTTTAAAGGCGATGACGATGGCAAGGGCCTCTTTGTCGTGTATCGGGTAGTTTAGTTCTGCTCCGTGTAGTTTCTTGCTGAGGTAGGCGATTGGTTGCAGTCCATTCCCCTGGTCTTGCATTAAGACTGCCCCCACTGCCTGGTCGCTGGCGTCAGCTTCGATTACGTAGTCGCGTTCGGGATCTGGCAAGATGAGTACCGGTGCGGACGTGAGTGCTTGTTTCAGCTGCTCCACGGCTTCCTGGTGCTTTGGTTCCCATTTATAGGGCGTGTTCTTCTTCAGCAGATTCGTGAGTGGTGCTGCGATTTTCGCATATTGTGGCACAAACCTGTTGTAGTAATTAGCGAAGCCTAGGAACTGGTGCAACTCCTTCACGTTCTCGGGTGTCTTCTACGTGCGTACGGCCTCGATTTTCTTGGGGTCGACGTGAACTCCTTGAGCGCTCACCATGTGCCCTAGGAATTGGACCTTTTCAAGGGCGAATTCGCTCTTGGACAGTTTGACGTAGAATCGTTCCCAACGAAGAATTTCGAAGACGCGTCGCAGGTGTTCGACGTGCTGCTTCATGTCGCGCGAGTAGATGAGTATGTCGTCCAGGTACACCACCACGCATTCGTCCAGAAGTGGTCGTAGAATGTGGTTCATTTCGGCTTGGAATGTTGCCGGCGCGTTGGTGAGTCCGTACGGCATTACCAAATACTCGTACGATCCGTACCGAGTTCGAAAAGCAGTTTTGTGGATAGAGTTGTCCGCCATCCGTATCTGCCAGTATCCGGACCGTAGATCCAGTTTGGAAAATACCGTAGCTCCTCGAAGCTGGTCAAGCAGGTCATCGATTCGCGGTATCGGATATTTATTCTTGATGGTCTGCTTGTTAAGAGCTCGGTAGTCGATGCACATGCGCAGGCTTCCGTCTGGTTTCGGTGTGAAGAGTACTGGAGCACCGTACGGCGAAGTGGATGGCCGGATGAGTCCTTTGGCTAGGAGATACTCGATCTGTTTTTTCATGTCAGTCAGCTCCGTAGGGCTGAGCCGGTATGGTGCTCGGAAGGTCGGCTTCGAACCCGGTTCCTCCACGATCTCGTGTTGATGCGTTCGGTATGGCGGTAGCTCGTTCGGAAGATCGTCAGGAAGAATGTCTTGGAACTCCTTCAGTAATTCCTTGATTTTTTATGGAGTTTCCGAGGCTTTCTCTCCGTCATTCTCCACCTCTGTTGCTATCGCCAGGAACCCGGTGTCGGTCCGCTTCACGTCCTTCTCGAATCGTGCGAGTGTCTCCACTGGGATATCTCCAGTATCGTCCCAGTTGGGTAGCTGTACTCTCCGTCCATTGTTGTAGATGCTTGCGGTGCGGTTTACCCAGTTGATCTCGGGGTTGAATCTTTTCAGGAAGTCTCACCCGAAGATCAAGTCAAGCCCTTTGATGTTGGTGATGGGGAGTGCAGGTCTCCAGCGCAGTGGTCCGATTTGTAGGTGTAGCTGTTAGTATTAAGGACGGAGTCTAGGTGAACTTAGGAGCTAGAATTACTCAAAATATAAATCCGAAATTCTGGACAGAAAAGTCGTCTTCACAAGAAACGACGTCGACAAAACACTAGCCGTTGGAATGTCGCGAAACTTGGATATGTTGTAGCTCTTGATCTCAGCTACCGTTCCCAATTTGAATCACGTTGATTGATGAAGTATTCGCGACGCTATGGCTTTCGACGCACTAGGGGGTAAGCTGTAGGAGGAGAACTTAACTCAATCTCAAGAGTTCAATCAAAGTTCAAGAATCTCACAAGGAATTTGAGGAGCAAGAGAAAGGTTGGGATAGAAAGAGAGGGACGAGAGGGAAGGTCCCAAGAGAGTCCCCAACCAAGGAAACCCCATAAGCACAAAGATTCCCTCCCTATAGGAACCTCAACTTTGACCTTTGTCCCTTCCCAACCAATCCATCCAAGTTGGCCACCCTTGCCAACCTAGCTTGGTTGTTCCCAACCAATTTGCAGCTGTTACAGTAGAGTGACAAATTTCCCCAACCCCAAAGGTCCCAACTCCATATAGAGTCACCCCACAACTTCACTTTGTAACCGCCGCAATTGTAACGCAAGCTCATGAACTTTGAATCTTCATAGCTTTCGCGTTCTTGCTCCGATTGAAGCGATTCTTGTTGCGTCGGAAAGATCTTCTCAAGATCTATCATCAAAATACCTGCTCAAACAAAAATAACACAGAACACATTCCCAAACTCCAGAACACACCACACACAAATTCTTTCACATTCAAACCACACATGCAAGTTGAAAACATGGGATGGGAGGCAGACAGAATGTGATAGCATATGATGACATCACACAACAATCTCCCCCTCTGGCTGCCAACCATCATCGACCATACCACATCTCAAGCATGCATACTCAATGCACACTCATCCCAGCAAGCTTCATGCCCTTCCAATGATCCGCCTCCGCCAGACGCTTAGTGAAAATATCTGCTGCCTGCTGATGGGTCTTCACTATCTCCAGCCGCACCTCCTTATCAAGGATTCTCCTCACCCAATGCCACTTAGGCCTTATGTGTTTTGTCAGCCCATGCAGACAAGCATTCTTGGCGAGCTTCACAGCGGACTCATTGTCACAAAACACAACTGTCGGCTTCTCCTGACCAACTCCCAACTCCTCCAACAAACGCCTTAGCCACACTACTTCCTTGGCCCCATGGTGTAAGGCCATGTACTCAGGGATTGGTGCCCAGTAGCAGTGAGCGATCTCATCTTCCTCAATCTGCTCAACCACACTCCCAGCCTGCACCACATTCGGCTTGCCTCTTCCCCCATAGGTCAGCCTCACAGGAGGGCGCACATCCCTCCTAGGACGCTCAGGCGGGTGTGGAACTCGAGGTGGAGATTCATGCTGCTGCTGCTGCTCCACCTCAGCTGCTCCCCCTTCCTCAGTCACCCCAGACATCTCCTCCTCTGACACTGCAACCTCCACCTGTCTTGAAGGCTGCTGCAACTCATCTGCCTCCACAATGAGTGGTGTAGATGGAAGCTTCTGTTGCTGCTGCTTCCATTCCTTATAGTACAGGGACTCAAGAAACTTCACATCCCTTGACACTGTCAGCTTCTGGGTGGTCAGGTCCCATAGCAGCCACCCCTTGTGATCCTTTGCAATCCCCAAGTGCACACCCCATCTTCCAGAAGCCTCCAACTTCCCCCTTTTCTCCTTGGGCACATGAAACACCACCATGCACCCAAATGCCCTCAGCATGTTCACCGCTGGAGCACTCCCATACCACTTGGCATATGGGATCCACTCCTTATCTCCAACTGTAGCCAGCACCCTATTCTTCACAAGGGCGACCTGCCTCAGTGCAGACACCCAAAACGGATCAGGCAGCCCTGCACGCCCAAGGAGAGTGCGTGCCCCCTCCTGCAGGGTCCTGTTGAACCTCTCAGCCACGCCATTCTGCTGCGGGTTGTAGGGCACTGTCAGTTGATGCTGGATCCCCTTCCTCTTCAACTCCCCCTCAAAATCAGCTCCAATGAACTCCCCACCATTGTCACTGCGGATCACCTTCACCTTGTGTCCGCATTCCCTCTGAGCTCTAGGCATCCACTCCTTAAGGACAGCCGCTGCCACCTCCCCCTTGCTCTTCAAAGGGTAAACCCACACTGCCCGAGTGTGGTCATCCACAATTGTCAAGAAATAGCGGCTGCCTGAGAGGGAAGGGGCTCTTGTGGGCCCCACCACATCCATATGCACAAGTGCAAGTGGGGTCTTGGCTGGTCCTGTAGTGCTGTTGAAGGGGAACTTGGAGAACTTGGTCTCCAAGCATGTAGGGCAGCTCCCAATCTCCTTCACTCCCCCTTTCACCTCCAAGCCCTTCAGGCTCCCATCCTTCACCAACTTCTGCAGCATAGGGAAGTTCACATGACACAGCCTCTCATGCCATGTCTCCCAATCGGCCTCTCCACTCCTTGGTGAAGCCTTAGCCCATGCCGCACTCGCATCCACACCAGCAAGCACCTCACCATGTGTCTGCTGCTTCTGCACTTTCTTGACTGCTTCCAGGACCCCATCAGTTGGTGCAGTTGCATCTCCTCCTGCTGTTGCCTTTGCCGCTGCTGCCGTTGCTGCTGTTGGAGTCTTCCCATTCCAAGGGATGATGGGCAGCTGCCACAGGTCCTTGATGCAGCTGGTCTCCTCTTCCAGACTCCACAGCACCTTCTTCCCAAGCTTAGCACGGCAGCTGGTTGGTCCAAAGGTCACTTCGGCCTTACTCTTCTGCAGTCGCCGCACAGAGAGAAGGTTAGCAGACAAGCCTTTAACCAGCAGAACATTCCCAAGCCCCACAAGCTCCCCATTAGCTCCCTTAACCTTGGCATTCCCAACACCAATCACGGGGAGCAAAGCACCTGACGCTGCTGCCACATACTTAATCTTCCCAGGGGGTTTTACCTCATCAAGCAAATCTGCCCGTGGAGTCATGTGACTGGTGCAACCCGAATCAATCACCCAGTGCGTGAGAGGGTGCATCACAACCTTTCCCACAGATCCCACATCACCCTCATGCCCATGCACATCCTCAACCATAACAAACAAACCAGGATAGGCATTACCTTGTGCACCTTCACCTTGTGCACCTGAGCCTTGCACAGCGCCACCTTGTGCGCGTTCACCACTGGGCGGCTTCATGCCTGGAGGTGCCCATCCCTCCAGCCTGCTGAAGCACTTGAACCAAGGATGCCCAACCTTCTTGCAGTACCAGCACGTGCCCTCCATTCTGGTACTCCCCCTGCCACTAGAGCTCCCATGCCCCTCATTATAGTCACCTCGGCCTCTACCTCTGCCAAAGCTCCTCCCACGGCCTCGGCCTTTCCAACCCCCTCTTCCTCTGCTGCGCCCTGCAGCTCCATACCCCTCAGCAGTCTTAGTGGCAGCACCGCCTCCCACATGGCGTCTGCGGAAGTCCTCCTGCAGAATCTGCTGCCTTAGCCACTCAGGTGTCCATTGATCTTGCTGAGAGTTGAGGGTGGGGATGAGGTTGTCCCAAGAGTTGTCCAACACCGAGATGATCTTGGTGCACTGCTGCAGCTGAGATACACTGCTGCCCGCTGCTGCCATCCTTGCATAGGTGTCCTTGATCTTGTCAAGGACCGGCTTCACATCGTCCCCTGGTCGCATGGAGATGGCAGCAAGTTCCTTCTCGAGCACGATCACCATCGGGAGAGTGTTGGGCTGAACCACATCACGTAGTAGTTTCCACGCCCTTGGACCCGAATCATCCGCTTCCACAAGATCCTTGATGTGCTCGAACATCTCCTTGTTGACCGATTGAAGAATGAGGTCGAAAAGCACCGCGCTTTTCTCAATCCACCGTTCACGTGCTTCGCCTTCTTCCGGCATCTTCTCTTCCCCAACAGCAATCTTCAGGAGCTTGTAGCGTTTGAAGGCACTCCTCATCCGTCCGCTCCATTCCTCATAGTTGGAGCCATCCAAAGCTTCAACTTTTGATGGCGGCGGCTCACTTGTCTTCTCAGCTACAGCTCCTCTTCCATTAGCATCTCCTCCTCTCTCATTCATCTTCTCCTTGAGAAATGACGAATTTCAGCTCCCCTTTGCTGTCCACACTCAGCTCCCTCGATATTTTCACAAGTGTCGGCGTCCACGAAATTTCGGCAGAGTTTCCCCTTAGCGGAAGACACATCCAACCTTTAGAACACCACTTAGGCACACCCACAGGCCATGGTGGGTCTAGAAGGGTCTTCACACTTCTGTAGACTCCTCTCAATGTCCTTAATATCGCTCTGATACCACTTGTTAGTATTAAGGACGGAGTCTAGGTGAACTTAGGAGCTAGAATTACTCAAAATATAAATCCGAAATTCTGGACAGAAAAGTCGTCTTCACAAGAAACGACGTCGACAAAACACTAGCCGTTGGAATGTCGCGAAACTTGGATATGTTGTAGCTCTTGATCTCAGCTACCGTTCCCAATTTGAATCACGTTGATTGATGAAGTATTCGCGACGCTATGGCTTTCGACGCACTAGGGGGTAAGCTGTAGGAGGAGAACTTAACTCAATCTCAAGAGTTCAATCAAAGTTCAAGAATCTCACAAGGAATTTGAGGAGCAAGAGAAAGGTTGGGATAGAAAGAGAGGGACGAGAGGGAAGGTCCCAAGAGAGTCCCCAACCAAGGAAACCCCATAAGCACAAAGATTCCCTCCCTATAGGAACCTCAACTTTGACCTTTGTCCCTTCCCAACCAATCCATCCAAGTTGGCCACCCTTGCCAACCTAGCTTGGTTGTTCCCAACCAATTTGCAGCTGTTACAGTAGAGTGACAAATTTCCCCAACCCCAAAGGTCCCAACTCCATATAGAGTCACCCCACAACTTCACTTTGTAACCGCCGCAATTGTAACGCAAGCTCATGAACTTTGAATCTTCATAGCTTTCGCGTTCTTGCTCCGATTGAAGCGATTCTTGTTGCGTCGGAAAGATCTTCTCAAGATCTATCATCAAAATACCTGCTCAAACAAAAATAACACAGAACACATTCCCAAACTCCAGAACACACCACACACAAATTCTTTCACATTCAAACCACACATGCAAGTTGAAAACATGGGATGGGAGGCAGACAGAATGTGATAGCATATGATGACATCACACAACAGTAGCACTGCTTCGTCGTATACTAGTAACTTGCTGCCATCCACCATCGTTGCAGAGAATCCTGAAGGCTTGTACTCTTCCCGTAGTCGGTCGATTACTGCCTTGTTGCAGACGGTGTGTGACGCTCCGCTGTCCACGAGTGCTTGGAGGCGTCGTCCTTTGCAGATGACCTCGAGCACGAGGGGCAGTCGTTGCTCGAAGTACCCAAAGATAGTTTCATTGACTGGGTCATAGGGTACATCCCAATACTCCGTACACACATGTGTGTTGCTATCTATTCCTGAGCTGGCAGCTGGCCGAGGCTGCTTGGAGAACGGCTCTTCTCCAGGGCCCGGAGTTTCCCTGACGAGTGTGCGTATCACTGATGCCGAAAAACAGGATGCATCCGTAGGAGGAGTTCGGGGTTTGTGCAGCTTCTTGTAGACCCCCAGCTTCCTCTTGAGCTGCTTCAGCTCCACCGACGTCTTCCCTGGGGAACGGGTAGTCGTTGTGGGCTGGTGTCGGGAGAGGACGTTGACTCCGTGGAAAGGTCGGCTTCTTTCCACACTCCTTAATTTGGTCCCCAGGTTTTCCGGTATCGGTATAATCTCCACAGCTGTCTGCTTCTTTTGGAGTCCCTCCCAAAATTTCTCCAAGGCTCTAGCCCCTCGAACATCATAAGCTTTCATTAAAGCATCTTTATAAGATAACTTTAACGAATTCTTATAATTTCTTGGGTCTTCAAGGAGTTTCCCTGTCTCGGCAGAGTCTTTTTTCGCGGAGTCGTATTTTTCCTCGGCGATTTTCCCTGGCGAAGACTGGTCGTGGGGTGGAGATTTTCCCCCATCATTTCCTCCTTCTCGCGTCGAATCAGCTTCGTCGAAGTTGATTTTTCCGGAATCCCGCGGCCGTTTTCGGATCTTTTTATTTTCGCCAGCTAGATCCGCAATCACTGGCGACTCCCGTTTTTTTACTTTGATTGGCTGAAGGAATTCCGCCACTGTTGCGTGCCCGATACTCTGCGCGTGTGGTCTTCATTTTGCTGCAATCGAAGATTCGATGACCCGGCACCCCGCAAAAATCACACGTGTAGTTGGTGTTTTTCGGACGTGGCTGCCCCTCGAATCTGTTGACTTCCATCGGGTCGGCGAACGTGGGGTGAGCCGAGCGGTCGCCCTGTCGCATACTGCCGACGCGCGTCCGTCGTGTTCCGGCGTTGACCATGTCGAAGCACTCCGCTGCCGAAACGACGTCACTGTAGCTCGCGTAGTTTGACGCTGCCACTTGTCGTTTGACTTCGGTCTTCAGCCCGGCGAGGTACGATTGTACTTTTCCCCCTTCGGTCAGGTCGGGAATGCGGTTATATAATTCCTCCATTTGCTGCGTGTACTGCGCTACACTCCCGAACTGTCGGTGTCGATGAATTTTTTCCCGGGCAAGGAAACTGGAATTTATCGGCTCGAAGCGTTTCAGCAGGTCGGCGCGGAACTGCTGCCACGTGGCTTCACCGTGGATGAAAGTACTGTTGCCGCCAATCCACTCGAGTGCCGGCCCTCGCATCAGTGTCGCCGCGAGTCGTACACGTTGTCCGTCCCAGACCGGCGAGCTCCATCCGACGGCTGCGAAGTAGATCTCCATCCCGGCGATCCATCTGCGGGCGTCGGAGTTTCGATCGCTCGGATCAAATGGCTCAGGTGGGCGCGGTTTCGGAGCCTCGAGAAACTGCTGCGACTGCTGCGTCGTCGCCGTTGTCGTCTCGTGCTGCGCTCCGGCGAGTCGAGTTACTCGCTCGAACTGGTTTCGCCATGCTTCGCGATCCGCTCGCATTTCCTCCTGAAGGGCTGCGATGCGCGCGAAGAGCTGCTGGGTAACCTCGGCGTTGTCGAAGGTTGCCATCCTGTTCAAAACACGCACGGAGGGGGTAATTCGAAAATCGCGGAGCTGGTGCTTACCAGAATCGGCGTCGAATTGGTCGCCCCCGGCGGTTTTTCGAGGCAGGATTCCCGCTGCTGCTGCTTAGCTGAGCGCGGTCGAGTGAGAAAAGCTCTGATTACCAAGTGTCACAGGATCGAATGTGTCGAGGAAAGGTTGCACTATCGATCAGTACAAGGCGCTTTTATACTTCCAAAGTACATCAGGTAACCAGGTTTATCTTATCCTAAGGGAATAGGCCCTTCTAGAAGATAGAATCACCCTGCGTATAGCCACGCGAGGCTATTGGCTTTAAGGGATTACGGCAGGATTACGCTAGATATAGCACACCAGTACATCCCAAGCCTGGTCGGTGATATAAATAGAATAGCAGGATAAACCAAAGGTTAATGGAAAATGGAAAATAGGAAACCAAATAAGATGAGATAAAGAGAAATGAACGAGGAAGGAAATAAGAAAAGGGACAAGTGGTGTAACGGGGTCGTACTATCACAATCATGATCCCGCTGCTGGCATTCCTTGTCGCGTTCGAAGTCATCGAGAAAAAGTTTATTGTAGAAGATGTAGTCTCGGGCATACAAAATATCTCAGGTTTCATAATCCATAATCATCCCGGAGTAGGAATCTTTAGGTACACCGAAGTGTATTCCCCATCCAACTCGTTCACTAAATCTTCCCAGAGTTGCGCTCGGAGGTTTGTATTGGACCATGCAACCCCAAACTCGTAAGAGTCGAGTGTCGGCGGGGTGTTTTGTCCACATGACATGTGGCGAGCTGAACTGAGGGAGAGTTGTTGAAGACAGGCAGTTGTGTAGTTTGACAGGTTGCGCCATCGCAAACGGCCAAAGTCTGCTGTCAAGCTGGACTGTTGCAGCAGCACACGCATCTTCTCTTGAAGCGTTATGTTAGTTCTCTCTGCTATTCCTTCTGCTGATGGGCGTTAGGCACGGTCTTGCGCCTGAGTATCCCTTTCCATGCTAGAAATTCATCAAACTGCTCCCTAGTGTACTCCCTAGTGTCTCTTTCAGCTTGATGCCTCTCTGCCGCTGCGCAATTTTCAGCCATCGCTTGAAGGCGTGAGAGCTTTGGACTTGTGAGAAATATTCTTGTGCCAGAAGTATCAAGTAGCACCGTCGATGAAGGTAATTATTTAGCGATAATCGTTGCCGCTGATATCCTCTGCTTCCTGTTGTATGAAGAGTGTGTGTGTGAGAGTATGATACCGTTACACCAATTTCCCCTTTCCATATTTCATATCCATTTTATCCCTCTTTTTATGCTGATTCACTTGGTCTTTATCTCATCTCTTTTGGTTTCTTATTCCTCATTTTCCATCATCCTTTGGTTTATACTGTTATTATAATTATATCACCGACCAGGCTCATGATGTACTGGCGCGCTATATCTAGCGTAATCCTGCCGTAATCTCTTAAAGCCAATAGCCTCGCGTGGCTATACGCTGGGTGATTCTACTACTAGAAGGGTCTATTCCCTTTGGATAGGATAAACCTGGTTACCTGATATACTATGGAAGTATAAAAGCACCTTGAACTGATTGATAGTGCAACATTGAGCAAACCTCATTCGATCCAGTAACAATGTGGTTGAAGATGACATGCATAGGTGAGTACTTAGTAGCACTCGGAAAGTGTGACGGGAATGGAGCGTGACTTAGGTGAGCTCCGAGGCAGATCGTGCAGGGCAGTTTACAACGCTAGGTCGAAGCTCTTGGCCATTGATTAAAAGGAGTGTGTCCTTGTCGAAAACCGAGGCTTTAATTGAGTTGTTGAGAGCTTCTTGCGAGGAATGACCTAACCGCTTGTGCTAGATTTCTGCTATAGTCTTGCGTCCCTTTGAACGCAGGTACAAGATGGAGTGAAGGAAGAAATCCGGCGAAAGCTTAATCATTGGCGCAGGGTTAACGCAGTGGCCGGTGCCGAAAGGCTGGATGAATCCGGCTTCTTCTGCAATTTCAGCCCAAGGAATGCCGAGGTGTCGGCGACGCGCCCGAGAATCAGGTACGATTAACTCTTTCTTGCCCCATGTGCGTTTAACCTTTAGGTTCTTGGACTGTAGCAGATGTTGGTTCTTGATTGTCGTAACCCCAGTTTCCATTTCCCGATGCCCATGTACTTTGAACCGTTTCTGCTGCTACTGATGCTACTTCTGTTGGCTCTGCTGCAGGTTCGTCGAGGGAGTTGGTGCGAGAAGGCTGAGGCGTGACACAGAAGACATTGAGACCACGATGGTCTTGGCGTTGGAGATCCGTTTCCCAGTGATGATGCCAACGAGCAAGTGAGACGTTCTTCTCACTATTGCCAGATGCTTTTACAGGTGAAAACTGTAAAACGAAAACGCCGTCTATAATTTCGGTGATGCCGACTAAATTGCTTTTGTCTTCCTTCTTCTCGCCCAGGTACAACTTCGTGAGCATCGTGTTGGCGGCGCTAACAAAACAAATGCCACTTTCCATCAGGCGCGCTTGTGATAGTAGGTTGAATTCGAGTCCCGTGGCGACAA